CACCAGAGAGAGATCGGATATTCGCCCTGGAATGGGAGTTGTTCGAGCAGATTTGCAAGCAATCCAGGAGAAGTCAGCACTGTAGGAGGCGCGTGAAGTGGATATTGCGTACTTTGAGGGGAACAACGAACAGCCACTTGTTTTCAGGAGGAAGGAGTTGGTCTGGCAGGATAGGTGGATGCGATTCGCGGGATCAGATACGAGGCGAAGGCACCACGGGGTAATGTTGTAACGCTTTAGGCGTCGACAGCGTAGCTGGGTCTCACGTCTGCAGAAGATATGTGAACTTTGTCTACAACCGAGGCTGAGTATGTCCATGGTGCCTCGGACTGAGCAAGCAAGGAGCATGATCTGGTTTGAACGGTGTGCTTGAAGATTGGATCTAAAGCCAAGGGGAGGAGTTTTTTATTTTTTGATAGCTAGAGGCGCTATAATCATCTGGCCAAGAATCATATATCATGGTCCAGAACAAGCAGCAATCGTGGTCCAAATACATTTTATACGCTCGCTGATGCGACGGACGGAAAGTGTGCATTTAATGGAAGATTTTTGGGGAGTCAAAATCCGGCGGACTATGTTGACGGGAAGGCAGTCACCATTGAGAAATCTGGAGTTGTGGCACAACTTCAGTTGGCCTTCACGAGGTAGAAAGACGAGGGGAGCGCACACTACGAGGATCGGCGGGCGATCGCCGGGATGTTGCTTGAAGAAGAATTTTTTCAAGGAAAAGATTACATGCGAAGCCAGGGGAGAGTTTTCGGGTGATGCTCGTTGTGGCGCTTTTGGGTCTCCGAAGTGGGTAGTATTATTAGTCTATAGTGTGTAGAAACCCGAAGCTGCAATTGAAAAGACGATATAAACAAGTCAGAAGAGCTGTGCGTCGACCGCAGTGCCGATCCGGTCGACCGCAGTGCACGTGCATATGAAACTGAGAAGTTCTGTCGGCTTGGCCGGTCGACGCGGCGTGGCTGATACGGTCGACGCACAATGTGCACAGGACCTGTAAAACTTTTTTCTCTGCGGTCGACGCTTGCCACGCCGTCCCGACCGCGAATCATCCAGAACAGTTTCCTAAACTGTTTGGGACTCTGTTTTGTTTCAGGATCTATTATACCCCAAAACGATTTTAGGGTTTGAAAGAATTTTCAACAGAGAGGCTGTTTTTGATTGGCAAAAGAGAGAGAATCTGCAGCCAGAGATTAACCGGCTTGTTTGAGAGCTTGTATTTTCTTCCTTTAATTATAAAAGAGATTGTGTGGGTGTGGTATCCCGAGGCCTCGGCCCACGTAGGCAGTTGCCGAACCTCGTTAAATTGTGTGTTTCATCTCCCTTAACTATTTTTTGGCAAGTTAGATTCTTTATTTGTGGTTTTTATTCCTACTTTTGCTACTTCAACACAAGGTCGGCGGAAAGGGCAAGGGTTCGATTGATTGTTTCGAATCCCACAGATGCTTCGTGTTCGCGATAACAAACGCATAGCAAACTTTAATATATCGTAGCAGTAGCTGTAGCCTTCACCTCATGGGGGCTCATGCTGCTCGCTTGCTCCGGCCTCGGCTCTCGTTAGGGGCTAATTTAGTTGTATGTTTTATCCATGTATAAGGATGAATAAGTGTAAAAAAAATGGGTCCCAGTGTCACTTTCATGCACTTTAATTGTTTTGTTTGTAGTTATGAAAATAGTGTAAATTGATTTCATAATGCTGGATGTGGTTGTAAAGTTATTTCATAAAAAAAACGACATGATTTTAGGAGAAAGCTGACCTTGAAGTCCAGGAAAAAAAATAACTAAAAATAATTCTACCACTATGATCATTTGAGTAAGTGACGCACTTTTTACACTTCGCAAAGCAAACAATTACGAGGCTGTTTGGTTCCTTGTTTTTGAGGGAAAGACTTTCCTTGAAAGCTGCCAAAAGTGGTCACTTTTTAACAGGCTTTCCAAGGGGAAAAATTTCTAGCCAAACGGACCCTTAAAGTTATATTTGTAACCAAACAGCAATTTATGATTTCAATGGAATAAAAAACAAACAAAGAAATATAAAAGTTGAAATTGGATGAGGTGGATAAGCAACTTTCCAAGTTTGTGTCATAAAATACAGCAACTTTTAGCCAAACAACAACCAAAACAGCCCTCAATTACATATCCATGGAAATACGCTCACTAGCTGATGCTAGGTGCTCTGCACACGTGGCACATCCCCATTGGATGACATGTTTCCACTACATGGGAAATTGTGGAGTTGTTTCTTGGATAGGGTTTAAAGGTAGGTGGGGCCCTTGGGTAGACGACTTTTTTGTTTTGTACCTTGATGAATGCTGTTTTGAAGGAGATTTTTAAGTTGCCGCGATACGCGCTATCTCCTTCTTTATAAATAGACTAAGTAGAGTTTAAGTTACAAGGGAAGCAGAAGCTAAGCTATAAAAAGATAAGAACTACAATCTAAATTTCAAGTTCAAGTTGAGGCAAATAAGAGAGGAAGGCAACCAATTTCCCTACAATGATCGGTATGATCTTTTTTTTCTCTCTTATTAAGTCGCCTTGGGAATATTTAGTTATAGTTCCGGTTTGTTTCAACTATATCTCAAAATTTTAAGTATACTATACTTTTGATTGTTTGTCAGTTGCAATTGCAACTCCGACCAGCTATTGCTAGAAGTAAAATAAGCGAGTTACTGCTACTTGAAACTCAAGTTGGAGTTCGTTCAACAATAGTAGGTTGAAAATTAAAGAAGATAAACATATTTGCTTTTTCTTTTTCTTTTTCCGCCCTCCTTTTTTTGAGAAACACTTGCTATTCTAATTGCTCCCAATCCAAAAAGAGAGAGACTAAATGCTTGGAATGTTTTTATGTCTTAAACAAAATAAAAATAAGTACAATTCACATAATTAGTTATATTATAAAATGCATTACATTGATCTGCTAGATATTTTCGATAATTATAAGTAAGAAGAAATTGTAATAAGACAATCTAAAATATTGGATAAATTGTCTAATTTTTCATTTTTGATTGAATCTTATTTGGGCTTTGGTGGCAAGCAGATTGTGGAGATGTGTGTGCATTATTAGATTGTCGGCAGGTGTGAGAAGGAATACGAAAGGAAGGCGCTTCAGAAGGTTAAAGTATGTATTGTCACTAATTACTGCTCTGAATAGAATCATAGTAGTGTTTTTATCCACGCTAAAATGGGGAAAAAGTACTAATTACTTCTCTAGCTATTAGATGTTTGAAAAGATGATAAGTTTAAAATTCATAGATATTAAATATCAAGATATATGACTCTATTCAGTCATTATGAA